AGAAGATGTATCTCTTACCTTCCCCTCGCTCTCCTATCTTCCACAGACAGGTTAACTAACTTGCAGAGAAGAGAGAGAGAACTGAGACTTCAATTCAAGAGAGAGAGAGAGATGAATCTATATAAAGCAAGAGAGAGAAAGGGAATTATGTCTAAATATAGAGAATTTGGTAAACCAAATAAATAAAGAGAGAAAGTAAGTTATAAAAAAGAAAAGAAAAGAAAGAGAGAGAGAAAGTAAGTTATAAAAAAGAAAAGAAAGAGAGAAAGTAGCCTTTATCAGAAGCACTCGGAATTTTATCAAAAGAGCGGATTTGAAGGCGTGATAATTTATGACAAGTGCGGATAATTTATGAAAGTAGCCTTTATCAAAAGCACTTGGAATTATTATTGGTTAAATTAAGATTCTTGATTTAGTCTCTTGTTATCTCAAAACCAAAATTAAAATATTTTAGATCAATCAAGATAAAGGAAATTTTAAAAAGAAAAAAGTTTATATACGGGCAAGGCCCTAAATAATCAAATTAAGAAGCACGTCAAAAATTTCACTAGAAATGGTTGTTTCGATGCCCAAAAATCCTCAACTTGATCATCTGGACCACAAGATGCATGGACATGAGACAAAATGGATTTCAATTCTTGGAAATATTGCATCTTATAAAGCATATTCGGACTGTTAATTTTCAAGATTTTTAAGTATTCATAGATCTGCTCAATCTATACTATTTTATTTATTTATTTTTGGGTAAGTCAGTGGGGGAGAAGGCCCCTACCCGTTTTTATTAATAATAAAAATAAAAAGAATGGGTAGGGGGGCCTTCACCCCCACAGAGTTACACAAAAATAAATAAAATTAGACTTACCCAAAAATACATAAAATTGAGGCTTTAAGTTTTATAATTAGAGAAAATGAATTTTCAGGCCATCACAAATATTTCTAATATTGAAACAACATCATTCGACATTATTTGAGGGTGTGATTGTTTAGGGCCTCAGCCTTATACAAACCGCACCCTTTTAAAATAGTTTAAGTTTCAAAAAATAACGTGTTTAATATTATTTAAGAAAACTATTTTATTTTCTCACGCTTTGGAGATAATTTTGGCGTTCTTAATGAAATTCCTAATGTTTTGATGAATTTGGAACTCCGCAAGTCTATTCTCCGATTGACATATTTGAAGCACGAGAAATGGTTTGAATGCAATAAGGTGGCTCATGTTAAAAAGTGTAAAATAAGAACTTCCTTTTTAACCTATTTGGACAGGCCAGCTGGGGCCCTTAACAATAACACGGCAAAGGTTTGAAAATTCGGTGATCCGGATCAGAATAAGCCGATTCATATTAAGAATTAGTCGGGCTTATTTAGATCCCAAAAAAATATCTGGAACCGGCAAGTTCCCCTTATGAATATGCCGGTTCCATTTAGTTCGTACCGGTTCTCTTGCAGAAGTGGCTGCTTCTGTCAAAGAACTGGTACCAACCAGCTTCACATTTTATTTTTTAATCACTGAATTGGCCAAAACCGGCCCCTACTAATTTTAAATTTTTTTTGAATTGTTGATCCTTCAAACTACAACAAAAATCCTGAAGACATATTTGGGTCATCTATTTTTTTACATCAAGTTCAACCATGGGTTTTCGAAAAAAACAAATTGCATACAGTGCCTGTCTATTTTTTTTTTCAATTTATTTTTATTGGTAAATACTTAGATTAGTTGTGGACTTTGCACGTATAGTAAGTAGATCATCTATAGCAAATATATTTGGTAGGCGTGATTGCTATATTTTTCTGTATCTCCTTCACACAGATTTGAGAACAGTCTCTTTATTTGTTTGTTTGTTTATTCATTCATAAATATATGCTATTTGAACTGGTACAATTTGATGGACAAAGCCATCTTCTTTCCTCCGCCCATTTGGAACTAGGGGCAATGGGTTGAGTTTGCTGGACCCAGACCCGTATAGTATTCTGGTCCAAGTTTGGATCGGACTCAATATGTCGGGTTCAAAAGTTGGACCCATACCTGTACCCATCGGGTCCCGAGTCTTTCCCTTCGGGTCTCGGGTTTGGTCTGGTCTATTGCCACCCTCACTGTAAACTTCTCTTTTTTTTTGTCCATTTTTACTATCATATACTCATTTATTGGCAACAAGATCACAATCACATGTCATTAGATTTCAAGCCATTTGATTTGTCGTTTAATAGCTAAAGATAACTACGAGATCTTATTGTATACGATCCTTAATACATCAAAAGAATAGGGCTTAAAGTATTTTTTCTCCAACAGTTTACAGGTACATGTCGGGTTCAACTAGACTGGGACCCGAACCCGAATAGTATTTGGATCCAAATATTAAACCCATACTCAGACTCGTGTTATGTATACTCGATGGTCCCAGGTCAACGTCAGGTCCATTCCCACTCGTATTTGGGACTAATAAATGGCTGTAACAAGATTGATCATAATGAGAAATAATTTACTCAAGTAAGTTGTCATGCTTAGCAGCCAAAGTTGAAGCCGGATCAAACTGACGAACTATGTAATTCGCATTCTCCTACTTGAAAAGACATTGCTTGATATTGAGATTTGGGGTTGGAGAATGGATTAAAAACGTATTTGAAGCTAAGTATTCTCTTTATGGCAGAATATCACCTACCAACCACTCTACATTGTTCAATTCTATACCTTGGATTGTTATGGGGTATTTCAATGCAGTTAGAGACCCTAGTGAGATTGATAGGGGCAAGAATCAGTGGTGCAAAGCTATATGGTTGTGTGATGAGTGTGTGATGAGTGTCTGATTGAAGCTGAGTTGGAAGACTTGAGCAGAATATAGAGTTGATCACCATCTTACTTGGTAGAATAAAGAAGGGGATGGTCATCTCATATATAGAAAGCTTGACAGAGTATTGGTGAATGAATGTTGGAGTACAACTGGGCTGTGGCTGAATTCTATGCCCCTGCTATCTCTGACCACTGCCCTGGTATTGTAAGAGCAGGGATTGAGCTGAGTAAGACTCACAAGCCATTCAATTTCTTCCACTTTTGTTTTGGGCTGAGTCTGATGAGAAAGCTCTTCTTTAAGCTTGAAGTCATGTTACGAAGGCTTGGCAAACTGCCGTGAAGGGCCCCAGCCCCTACATTAGGGGCAGGGGCAACCTCTACCAAGTTTTTCAAAAGCTCAAAGCAGTGAAGCAAGCCTTGAAGGCATTCAACTCCAAGAATTGTAAGAATATCTCTGAGAAAGTATCTGAAGCTAGGAACGATCCAAAGTCAGAACCTTCTATACCAAGATATGGGAAATGAGACTAGCAGAAGGCAGGAGAAAGAATGCCTTATCAACCTTGCCGCAATGATGAAGTTGGAACTCAACACTGAAGTTGAAGTTCGACCGTTCGTCCTTATGATCCTTCATTCTTTAACCAACCAAGGGAATGTTCTGGCACCTAGCCCATTCGCGGGGAATGAGCACACCTGCAGTGAATGTCCGTGAGAACAACCCACTAGCTGGAGTTGGCACATCAGTTGTTAGTTTAAACGCTGGAGCGATCATTGCTACCAACACGGCCATCCCGGTTGGGCCTGCAACCCGGCGTGCAAAAGGACTGTGCAATTTGAAATACACTTGTAAATGAGATCACAGCAAGCATGAGAGCCCGTGGGCATATTCATCTTTCGGAGATTCTTGCTTAAAAAGAGAATACTTATCTAAGAGAGAAAACTGTAATGTTCTTATTGTTGGGAATCAATTCAAGATCCAATTTGATAGATTCGCCTTCGGGCACTGATATTCTGACTCTCTCAATTCCTAAGAAGACTGGGGGGATTCCTAAAGCATAATTCTTCTGTGACCGTGGAACATGCGAGACATTTACTTTCAGAAATTGACTTAGTGCATGCCTTGATGAAGTAAGGCTCGGGAGAGCAGAAGCAAGTTGTTATTTTCAAGCTAGAAGGACGCAAAAGAAAGAGGTTTGGCAACTTTAGAATGCAACACAATAAGAGG